CATCTGAAAAATACGTTTTCTCGAAGTCTGTAAAGTAGGCCTCCGTGGCGGCGATGACCTCCTCATTCGGCCAAATTGGTCGAATTGGACTACGAACTGCTGTCCCATCCACCATATTCTCCAGATCTGGCCCCGTGCGACTTTTTTTTGTTTCCAAACTTGAAAAAGTCACTCGCCGGGAAGAAATTTGAGTCGAATGAGGAGGTCATCGCCGCCACGGAGGCCTTTGCAGACTTCGAGAAAACGTATTTTTCAGATGAGTTAAAGAAGTTGGAGCATCACTGGGTCAAGTGTATCGAGCTAAAAGGAGACTATGTTGAGAAATAAATCGCCACTTTTCCAAAATGTTCGTTTTTCTTTTATAGGCTAAGTACTTATCGGACCGCCCTCGTAAATGTCTCAGTGTGACGATACTTCTCGGTTATAAATTACTTTCCAAATAGCATTTAAAACCTAAAAAATTGAAACCCTGAAATACTTACTTAAAAGTACTTCATTTCCTATTTTTCTGAAAAAATTATTCTGGAAATCTCGGATCTCTTAACGGATATGAAGTGGTTCAACAAATTCTGTTACATGAGAAAGGAATTTCAGAATTTGTTAGATATTTTTATTACTTCACAAGCAACCCGCAGTCTCCAAAGGACGTCCTGAAGATATTCTTAGGACGTCAGACTTTCCTCAGGACGTCCTTAGAACGTTTTATAAAAGTCTGCGCTGTTTGGGTTTACTATAGACGAAAATAAAGATGATTATTTGTTTTTTATGATATTTTTTTGAAATATTTCATTGGAAGATTTTTTCAAAGAATGTTAAACAAAATATGCTCAGAAAATATCAGTAAAAAGTCTGAGCAATTTTTTGTACTTCAGAATAATGTTGTGTAATTCAAAGAAAATAAGATAAAATAATTCCAACTAATTCTTAACTTCTGTATATTTATAATAACAAATTACAATCCTACATTTTCTCAGAAAATTTCAGTATTTTGTAATAAATAGTTAAATAAAATAAAAAATGTTTAGAGAATATCAGAAGATAAATAGAGATTTTTAGAAAAATACAGTTTTCTCAGATTTAATCAGGAAAATATTCTTTCTGATTTTTTCTATATTTCTCTGAAAGCGTTTTAATTCATAGATTTTTTCAAAGAAATTCAGAAAATTATTTTCACCAGGGATGTCACGTTAATCGCGTAATGATTAAAAAAAAAAGTATTAAATTGAAGTTACAATACAACAATAACATTGTGATGAAATTATTACGTGATCATCATTTCAATCTAAAGAGAGATAGATTGTGTCGCAGTGAAAAACGTAAGACGGACGATAAAACATGCCTTCGTTTCGATCTCCTCTTCGCGATCGACGCTGACTTCCTTGCCTTTTTCCTCGATGTGATCCTGAGGCGGCGCGAGCGCGTTATTCGTAGCGCGAAGTCCGGCGATGAGGCTATTCTGTTGCTTCTGCAAAAGCGACAAGATTGTTTATATTCTTTTGACATGATCCCAAGACAATCGTCTCATACTTACTGCTCTTATCTTCTTCAGACAGCCCTGCAACCACGTTCTGATGGTTTGCTTGGCTACTTCCTCTTCGATTATGTACTCGAACTCCTCCCGTGCTAGTAATTCCTCCAATTGGAGCGCCTTCCTGATGTCCACCGAACGGTACGACAGCATACTGAAAGGAATCACACAATTTAGGCGAGTTTCAGAGGCAAGTTTCAACTTGAGCATCGTGAATCGTTTTACATCATAGTTGCGTTTACAGAATTTGTCGAAAATTTCACGAATATGAAGATACAAAAGGTACAAAATTATCCTAGACCAAAGGATTCGAGGATTCGAGAGGTCGTATAGAATTCAAAAAGGTTCAAAGATCTTATTTAACCCTTTCGAGTCTAACGGAATTAATGTCCCACTATTGATATTTCTTTTTCTGACGAGATATGTAAGCTTAATTTTTAACAAAAATGTAATTATTAATGTAATTGTTGTACTGCATATAAACATATATATACAAATAAAAATATATTATTATATAAATACAAAAATATTTATCTTTCAATAAAATTTATCTTTCAATAAAATTTATTTACCTTTTTACCTTTATTACAATAAATAATGTTTATACTGTTGCAATAAATAAATAACTTGGACAGCACCAATTTCTGAAAAACGACTTAAAGGTATCTAAAAGAGATGTTCAAAAAATATGACATCTTTTGCATATCATTAAGGCATTTTTTAAAGAAATTTGTGTTGTCCAGATAATCTTTATCTTAAAAAATGGATGTTATTTCCAAATAAGATAAAAAAAACCTACTTAAAAGATAATGTAGGATAAAAACAAGTTAAATGCTTGTTGCAGGCGGAGTGTCTGTCTCTTACATAGCACTTACTTAATCACATCGTGGAAGGTAACGTCTTCGCCGTTATGCAGCCGTTCGAGCTCGTAGCACATATACTTGAAGAGCAGGCGATCCTTCTGCGGATCGGTCTCCAATCTGCCCTTCAACAACCGCAGGATATACTTCACCTGAAATGCACCGGTATCACCAACGGGTTCTCATGTATTATCGTTTTGGCAGCTTTCGACGGTTCAAAGTAGAAGACTGCACCTTCTTCACCGGTATAACGCCTTTCTGATGGTCATCGACCACATTCCACGTGTTCTGAAAGTTCCTTATGTCAGCGTACGACAGTAACGCGTCCTCTTCGTTCGAATAGAATAGAGAGAAGTTCTCCATAATGATGGCTGTGCGGAAGAAAAACATTTTGATTTCGGATTTGACTCTAACATTGATCGGTTTATCACGAACATTTAATCGGCAAAGAAGAATTATCGGACGAGAATTTTGATCAATGACAAAGTGAAAACCAGGATTGGGTAGTAACTGGTTACTCGGTTAAAAGTTAACACGTTCATTGCCAAGCTGAAAATTGGAATTTCATATTTTTTATATTTTTTTATTTAGTTTTTATTGTGCTCAAAATAAGTTAATATATTATTTATATGCTTTTATTATTATGTACATAGGATTTATGTACTCTAAATATCTATTACGTGATAACGCGTGATCGGCCGTTTGGTGAGAACTCGCATCACGCGATATCGCGTAATTGGCAATGAACGTGTTAAGTTAAAACGTTAATAACTCTTAATTTAATTTAGTTAATTTTGAATGATTTAACTTTTTGCTTAAACTAGTTAATTTAAAATGCGTTAATTTTCATTTATTAACTTTCTTTATATAAGTTAGAATAATTGATCATAATCTTAAAATCATTGCAAACTGCTTACAATATAGAATATGAAAAATGGAAACTAATGCCAGTAGAATTTTTCTTGTCTCTTTGAGTGTTTTGTAATAAATTATGAGCATATAAAAAATAACCAGCACTTTCTTATAATAGACTACTTTTTCTATATATATATATATATATATATATATATATATATATATATTTCTTTATATATATATATATGGCTTTGCATATTTATCTTTTAACTTTAATAAATTAATTTTTATTTGGATAAAAGATTTTTGACTTAGTTAACTTAGTTAAAATAAAAATTAACTTGTCCAACCTTGATAAAAAACAAATATTTTGTTATTGATTGAAACAACGTCATGAATATATAATAAAAAAAGAAATAGACGATATGAAGCAAAGGCAGTTATCATTTTAATAATGGACATCGTCTGTACATACCCACTAAAAGATTCAAGACGATGTAAGTGATGATGACGTAGAATGTACAGAAGTAGATGAGAGAAGCGTGAAAATTGCCGCAGTCCGTTTCCCAGTAATTGTCCGCCGGCGTGCAATTAGGCGGCTGTATCATGCAGTCGTGCATGATCTTGTTCCAATCCTCCCCTGTTACTATGCGGAAGAGCATCGCCACGCCGGTAACCGGTGACTCGAAATTAGCGCGTCTGTGTTGCAATTAGAGATTAGATTTCTTCTTCGGGATTGCACGAGAAAATTTGCACGAGAGTGAATGAGAGGATTTAACGACACGATGGTAGATAGTTTACTTCGTAAATGCCGTACATTCTTCATATACATGTTTTTATACCTTAACGCATTGTCAGAATGAATTACTCTTCATCAAGCTTTGAATACATTTTACATGAGCCATGAATAATAACACAACTTGAACTTTTGCAGTTTTTGAAATTCAGGAATTGATAAAAAAAAAATTGAAAACCAACAAGTTTTTCCAGAGCCGTTGGAGGAGACTTTCATCTGACTCTGATTAAGAGGTAAAACCACTTTAGAAACTAAAAAAGCCTGATTTTTAACCATTTTTAAGGGTGAAAAATAAATAAAATGAAAAATCTCTTTTAAGGTCTTTATTCTACAGATATTGAAGTGTATAAAATTTTGTCTCGCTATAAGACCTTGCTTCTTATTTTTAAGGACCTAAGGTGGTCATTTAAGCCAAAAAAAATATCGATTTTCCGAAATTTCTAAAGTGGTTTTATACCTTAATCTAATCAACGATTGAAAATTGCTGCCAATCAAGTGTCGTCCGTTCTATCTTGCTAACGTAGGTAGAAACTATTGACTCTTCGATTATCGTTGAACGACAAATTACAGAACTATAAATTGATGTTTGAGTGATTCTCATTATTATTCATCGATTAGTTTAATCTGAGTGTGATGAAAGTCACCCTCTGGAAGACCAGGCCGATCAATCGATCCACCGGAAAATCCACTGGAGATCTCCCCGAGCGACCAAACAATATGTACAAAATTTCTCTCAAGTTACATGGGCGGTCACCGTATCAGAAGCATCATCACACATCGCTTACGTACGCTCGTTCCAAGGATCTAGCGTTTCCTCACCTTCCTATGCCTTCCCCGTACTTGACAGTGCCGAAGATAATGGTGCCGGCTAACGCGTAAAAGAACACAAGCAAGAACATGCCGAATATGATGAAGAAGCTCTTGCAAACAGACACGCCGACCGTGAGCATCAGCATCTTGAGTGTGGTGTGCTTGCCGGTGATGGTGAAGAACCTGAGTATCACAACCATAAATCCGATCACGTAGGAGAGATCGTTCTGAAAGTGATAATAGGATCATCACAGGTGCGAAGACGACGAAACGGACAAAGATAAAAAGAGGAAACTCCTGATGGAAATATTTTGCTGAAATACTCTTTTAATTGACCCCATTTCAATAATATTTCGAAGTTTTCAGTTTAATTCAGTAAATTTCATGATATCCAATATTTCAAAAATACTCTTATTATTTTTCAAAATTATATTTTAATTTACATTATATTTCACAACATTACATTGGATTTCATGATGAAAATTATGATTTATTTTGAAATATTGATTATTATATATTTCAGTAATTTTTCAGTAATTTTCATTAAGTTCATAGTATACCAGTATACTTGAATGTAAAAGTTAAAGTATACTGTTAAAATTTATCGAATTTAATTGAAAACTTCGTACATTGACGGAATGATAATGAAGTGGGGCCAATTGAGAGAGAATTTCAGTAAAATTTTCAACATAATTTCTAATATTTCTATCAGAGATGCGACGGTTCTTCGAGCTTTTGACGACTCTCGAATGTGTACATACCTTCATCGTGCAGTGTACGACAATCCAAATCACGCCCACGACCGTTACTAGCAAGTCGTATCTGTTTCTTCTGGACTGCCAATAGCCACGTGGTGTGAAAGCAATGTTCTTCATGATTACTTCCACAAGAAAGACCAGTGTCAGGATCATGGATAAAGTCGCCAACGGCTCTGTATGCGACTCCTCGATTCTCCACTTCAGAGAGAAAGAGAGAAAAAGAGAGAGAGGAAAGCGTCTATTAAATTAGTTTTATTTTTATTTATTATTAATTATTTTAAAATTATTAATAATTTTATTTATTGATGTCCTAGGATTTACCCTCTAAGGACGAAGAGATGACAAATACATCGATCGGCAAGCTAATCGCGAAATTTTATGATAATTACTGACAAGAGAAAGACAAACAAAGTAGAATTCTAATATTTACATAATTGCACTGACAAGGAGATGGTCAACCTTGAACATCCTGGATTTGGCTGAATTTTAAATATGTTGTAGGAACAGTCTTCCTCTAACAAACGTTAATGTAACTCGTGCAAATGCGCAACGGTTTACGAGAAATCATAATTTAAAGTTTACCATGCTGCGTATAAATTGCTCCAGTAGAAGCGAGATTCAAGTAGCAAGCGTGGCTCAGCGAGTAGAGAACGCGGCTAGAATACCGGATGTCATGCATTCGACCTCTATTTTTCCCGACTATTTTTATTCTTTATTTAAGTATGCATTTAAGTGAATTATTAATAAATGAATTTGACTACAATATTATTTCAAAATTATTAAATCAGATCAACAGACTATAATTCTTTCACCTTTTGCAATTATACCCAGATAGCAAAATGCTATCTGGTGTACGCATCCGGTGGACGCAATATTGCCATCTATATGCCGTTTTCCGGCGTCATTTAGCTATCTAAGTAGTTATAAATGTCAAACATTTTTTCCTAAATGTAAAAAATAGTAAAACGATAAGTACAAAATAGAAAAAAAAGAATAGAGGGGGAAAAAAGTCGCGCAGATTAAATACAAGCAAATACGTGTGTTCTGCCTATTTTATCGCGGTAAAAAGTCTTAAAGATGTCTTGAATCGGGGACAAAGGACGTCTTAAAAGCGTCTGTTATACATCTTTATGACTAAACAAATCGTCTTTAAGTAACGCAAGTTGTCTTTAGAATCTTAAGACGTCTTTAGACAATCTTGTCCAAACATTATCCAGAGGACGTTTTTGGGACGTCTTTTGGACATCCGTATGGGTATGTAGTACTATTCTTAGTTGTTCCATCTTTGACATTTTTTCTTCCTAGATCGGAGAATTACTTTGTTCAACTCACAGAGACGCACAGCAGAGCGCTGTTCGTAATGACCATGACGGCGATGAATCGTTTGAAGTAAATGTTCTGCGTGATATCATAGATAAAGGCCCGGAACTTCTTGCCGTCCGGTCTCGGTGGTAAATGCAGCGGCTGTGCGATCTTCAAGCGTTTCTTCAAGTCACACCTGCGGCCCGACAGAAGAATTCGCATCTATAGGAACGATCTATCAGAAAACGAGATGGTTAATGCTCATCAGCTGACGACGAAATGCGAGGCCTCACCATCGTCTCTGATCGACCGTGAGCAGAGCGGTGCCCTTGTTCTCAGAGTAATTCGCGATCACGACACCCACGAACAGGGTCAGGCCGATCATACAACCCAGGAAAATATAAATGTGTATGTAAATCGCATGAACCTGGAAGAAAGTAAGATAAGAATCAGAGAGGAAGCACAGTATAGAACAAAAATAGAAATCAAACTATAATAATAAGAATAATAAGAATAACACTATAAGAAATAAAATTAAAATATAAAATAAAATAAAAAATAGGAATAAAACAAAAATAATAAGAAAATAAAATAAGAATAAAGAACAAGGATAATTTATATCACGAGAGAGAAGAATATTTTGTATGAAGAATATTCTCGAGCTATGAAAATTACGGTTTTTACGATCTACGTTGATTATCCTATCAAAGTATGAAGAAGTTAACAACTCACAGGACCAAGAGCTTTAATAAGAACGTCCCGCACGTCGAGCCAGCCTTTGAAAGAAAGCACTTCGAATAGAGCCATCATCGCGTCGCCGATGTTATCGAAGTTGAATCTTTTAGGATTAGCCCTGAAACGTTTGTCGTCGCACATAATGTTACAAGACCAGTGAAAAGGGAAAGGAAACGTATATCGGTGCGTATCTCGTTAAAAATACTCGTAAGAAATTATTGACTATTATAACTGTCGACGTTAAACGGAATCCCGATGGAAATATTATGCTGAAAACTTTACTGAAATTCACTCTATTATGTCATTTAATTAAATGTCGATATCATGTGCTGTCAGAAGTACAAGTAGCCAGAAGCATTTACTTTGATTGTATTTGCATATAATTTGTAAACAACAGTATTTTTTCGTTGTGGACATATATATTACATATAGGTATATATGGGCAAATTTCATATATGCTTTTTTTTCCCGAGTATTTCAAAATAAATCATAATTTTCATCATGAAATTCAATATAACGTTATAAAATATAATGTAAATTAAAATATAATATTGCAAAGTAATGAAAAACATTTTGAAATATGAGAATTCATGAAATTTACTGAATTAAACTGAAAATTACGTGTATTAACGAAATGGGGTGAATTGAGAGAATATTTCAGTAAAATATTTCCATCATGGAAGAGACACGCATAAGATTAATTACATAGATCGAATGCTTACCACACGCGCGGCACCAATATGGACGGATAACTCTCGTCCTTGCCCGGACGCAGCTTCATTTTCGTCACGAATACCCTCCTCATGAATACACCGACGCAATCTTCACGCTTCAAGATCGTCGGATCGTTGCATCTCGCCAGTCGGCCGCCATACAGCTGTACGCCGTAACTCGCAAACACGAACATCAATAGAATCAATAACGTCGATACCTAAATCAAATAATAATATCGCGTATATATACAATATTTACAAGTGTGTTTCGAAAATCGATCATGAATATTATTTTGTGCGTATATTTTCAGCAAATACCAAATTGCAGTTACATAATTCCCAGTAAGCAAGAAATCATTAACATTTTCATCATTAATATTTTATAATATGTAACGTTTTCAAAAATGTAGTTCTTGTGTTGTATATAACGTGTGTTGTATATAAAAATGTTATATATAACGTCATTGTTAACCATATTTGATTCAAATATTAAAAATAATATTTATGCAATATAATTTTAATATTTAGAAATATTATATTATTAACATTATAATAATTTAAAAACATTTATAAAATATTATGTTAAAATGCTTATCCACATAAAATCAATGTTTCAAGAGATTGATTTAATGCTTCTTGTTTACTGGGCTGTTAGTATAATTTCCTACTCAACAATGTAACTGTTATATAACACACACGTTAGTGTTACTGTTAGTTATATAACTTGATGTTTGCTGGGTTTTTTATTTCCACATATACCGTCACATAAATTCGCATGATTTTTCTCGCTTTTGACGTCATCAAAGAAGGATAATCATAGCGAGGAGCTATCCAAAAGCCTTAACGCCATGTAAAAATTAAGAACAGAATTTTTGTGTTATCATGATGTATATATCCAAACGAAGCGATTTTGTGCTAAAATTATATTCGCATGAACTGATTTTCTTTTTTTTTTATAATTTTCATGGCGTTAAGCGTACAGTCACGTATTGCTTAAATTCCGAACAAAAAAAAGATATATTTACCAGCAAGATCTCCTTGAATCCTCTGCAAAGTTCGTAAACGACTTTTCTCATGTGCGGCACGAGAGTAAAAATTCTTAACGGCCGAACGCATCGTAGTATCATCAGCAGCTGAGCACCGGAATTTGGCGGCACGCTCTTCGGCATCCAGCATAAGAACACGAGACTTACCTGCAACGACAAATTTATCGGGTTGGTACAAAAATTCGTCCCGTTTTGTAAAATAAAAATGTATATATAACATTTATTTATTTTAAATTATATTAATAATATTTATGTATTTTAAAACACGATCAATCAATCAGAAATTCTGCCAAAATTCTTGCGAAATATGTTGACATAAAAAGATATATCCATAAAATGATACTTGAGATCGACTGAACATATACCTGTATGTAAAATATTCAGAAAATTCTCCTATTTTTTAACAATCAATAATCAATAAATAACCGTAAAATTAATATGACAAAATCACAAAAAAAAGATAAGCTAAAAAGGAAGGTTGTATATGTCATGTTAATTTTATGATTACTTGTTAATTGATTGTTAAAATAAAAAGAAAGTTTTCGGAATATTTCACAAATGTCCTACATCGATAGCAATTGTCATTTTATTATCCTTTGTCAAGTATCATTTTATCCTTTTATTTCAACAAGTATTCCACAAAAATTCTAGACGTTTTTTCGTATCTGACGTTAAACAAAACGACTGTAGCGAGAAATCGGAAGCCTCAACCCTGATGGAAATATTATGCTGTAAACTTTACTGAAATTCTCTCTCGATCGACCTCATTTCATTATCATTCCGTTAATGTATGCAGTTTTCAATTAAATTCAGTTAAATTTTAGAAGTATAGTTTAACTTTTCTTATATTCGAGTATACTTGGTGTACGTACTCTGAACTCGATGAAAGTTACTGAAAAATTACTGAAATATATAATAATAAATATTTCAAAATAAATCATAATTTTCATCGTAAAATTCAATGTAACGTTGTGAAATATAATGTAAAATAAAATATAATTTTGAAAAGTAATGACAAAAAATTGTTGAAATATTAGATATGAAATTTGACTGAATTACTGCGTATTTTAATAAAATGGGGTCAATTGAAAGAATATTTCAATAAAATATTTCCATCGGGGAACCTATTATAATTGTACGCAATCGATAACTATATAACTGGATAGATAATTGCGATAATATGATAAGCCCGGAAAAGCATAAACTGGAAAAATGTCTGGAAAAATAACTATGATTACAAAGCGCCTCAATTCGTTTTGTGATTCGTAACGATTGCCGATATAATTCATCGACGAGAGGAAATTCTTTACAACTGGGGACACGATTAAAATCAACACAACGCATATCTCGTACGTACAATGTAGATGAAAACGTCCAACACCGAAGCTACGTCCTTGATGTAAGCCTTGGGTGTGAAAAACAAGCCGTCCGCCAAGATCTTAAGAGCCAGCTCAATGCTCATGAAGATAACGAAGCCGTACTCCGCGATCTGCAGCGCCGGCACTTCCATCACGCGGTACCGCGGCGTCTCGAACATCATCGAGATGCACGACAATGTCGTGGCGCATATCATCACCCAATCGAGGTAAGTCACCAAGCCGAGGAAATTGCTACAGGAAGAAAAGAGGAAAAAATCGGGTCCGTCGACTTGTAGTCTTGCCTCTATTTCGTATCGATAAAGAAACGCAAAGGTCGCGATTTCACGCATACTTACTGCAGACTCTTATACTGCACCTTCCTCTCCTTGCCCGTTAAAGGGTCCTTTAATCTTGCGTCGTATCTCGCATAAACGAGCAGCTGGCAAATCTTGCGGAATTTACTCTCGCGCGGTACCACGAACAACGGCGTGTCGAAGAACGGATGGTTCTCACGCAAATCGTCCTCACGTTGGTTTCTGGTGGCGCACAGTTGAAGAAGACATTAGATTTTGCAGGAGATTTTTTAGAAAGTAGTTTCAATAAATAGTTAATTTAGAGAGTAGTTTCAATAAATAGATAGTTTTAGAGAGTATATTTAATAAAAAATTAAAAAGTAAAAGCAGTAAAGTAGTATAAATAAAGTGGTATAGGTAAATAATAATCAACTAACTTCTACCATTTTTATATCCACTGAAGCTAGGTGATTGTGAATGTTTGCCATTCTAAAAAGTAGATCGTGGTTTATACGGGTTTGAGAAACCTCGATTTAATCTTCGAAATATAATATATATGTACATTTCTCTCTCTCCCTCTCTACACATATTTAAACACTTAAATATACCCCATTCTATTCTCTGTATATCTTTTTTTAGATCACAACTGATATATATATATATACTTATATTTATATATTTTTTTATTAATATAGAATATTAATATATATTATAAATAATAATATTTTTGTATTTGTAACATTGTGTATATATATTTATCTCAACTTTGTTTCAAATTAATATTTGTTATTTAAATAGTAAAATAAATGTATAAAAACGTAATTTTGCTTGATAAATAATAAATTTATGGGAGGCTTCTCTGACATGACACATCAAAAATACAGCACTTAGCAAGTGAATTTCCTTAAATCTTAGGGACTGCGATGTCTGGTAGCGCTAGAAAGGCTTTTTATAATGTAGAAATCACGTTGCAATTTTTAGTGCTTAGAGAAAGAAGCTAAAGGCTTACTACACATGTTATAGATCCAATTTGAGGCTTCATTGAATGGCTTAGTGTGGTACGGTTTTGCAATTTTACGTACCTTCGCATCTCCGCCTGTTGTCTCTTAGCCTGCAGCAGCTTGATGTCCAAATCGTGCGGCCTGCTGCGCGCGGAACTGACTCTATTTATTCCGCCTATGTCACCGTTTTCCATAAGATGCTCGTACGTCTGTTTAAGCTTGATTGATCCACTTCGGACACTCCTCCTGATTGATCTATTTTCAAGCAGCAGCAAAATGAGAAAACACAAAATGCGCATAAAAATGTGAAATGATCGGTATCAGTATATGAAAAAGAATGTATCGGAAACGTATCAAAATTTAGAATGACATTCATCAATCTGTGATTAAGCTAATCGATGAATAATAACAAAATTTGCCAGCACCAATTTCCAGTTCTGTAATTTGTCTTGTTCTGTGTATAATCGAAAAGTTAATAATTTCTATTTGTCTTATTTTAGGAGTTCGCTAGAGTAGAAAATGTTTAATTTGCTTCGAATTTATTGAAGTTATGGAAGTTTTAAGTTATTCCTTTCCCTGAAGAAGTGAGCTGGAATATTCACGAAACTTTCAATTTCACAACATTTCACCATGAAGGACGCGATAATAATTCGGTAGCCAAATTGAGAATCTCTCTACGTTAGCAAGATAGAGCAGATAATACTTGACAATTTTTAATCGATTTCAATCGAAATTCAATTGGACTTTAGTAAGAGTCATCCTTTATCCCCAGAGAAATTGCGACATTATCGAATATTCAAATTGCGCAAAGTCTCTCGAGCTCTCGGACGTTCTCGAGTCCTTATTCTTACTTTTTCTGATCTATGCGAAGTTGCTTGGCGCTACTGACGGTGCCTTGCGGTTTCAACAATCCTTTCCCCGGCACCGGAATCATAGCGGAATCTCCCAACAAAAGCCTCTGATTGTTGGAATCGCTGCAAGCGGAGAAAACGATGAAGCGCAAGAACTCGATGTTTTGAAACGATCAGATGAGATCACCGAGAAACAAACGCGACGTCTCGCTTACTTTATTATGTAGATGACAGCCGCTTTTTTCAGATTCGTCACGACGCTTCTCACTTTCGGCGGATTGTTCAGGATCTTCACAGGCCGTTGTTTCCTGTACAACATTTTCGAATCGAAGGTTTCGTTAGTCCTCTTAGCGCCTTCGTTCTCCTCGTCCTCCACTTCAAGCACGAATTGTCGCATAAAACTCTCGCGCACCTTAGAGAAGATAAGTCGAGTATTAATTCGATCTATTAGAGAGAACGAACGATTGACCGCGTTTCTTCTTTTTTTGACAATAAATCGGCCATTTTGTACGATAAAGGCTGATACGATCACCGATGGAACGTGACAGAAAGATTGTCGAAAATGAGGGACGTTATTCGACCACCCCACAAGCGCGTAATATTATTTAACATTAAGTAATATTTCTGGAATATTAGTAGATGGTTATATGTCTACTTTTAATAATATTTAAAAAATAATATTATTTAATGTTATTGTAATATTATATATTTTTTAAATATTCAACTCTATATATGTATATAATATATATAATTGTAGTTTTTTATTTCAAATATATTGCAATCCCAATTGTTTTGTTATATAAATAAAGTCGAGAGAATTTTGTGAAAAGATATATTTTATATTTTATGTAAAGATTTTTGTGCAAAGATATATTTTATACTAAAAAAAATTATGCATATATATATATATATATATCTTCCTTGGATATATATATGGATATCTACCTTTGGCAAATTGAAGTCAGATGGCACTTTATGAAGACACGTCATTTGCGGGCTATCTGGGAACTTCTCGAAGATCCTCAGTCTGAACGGCAAGCTTTCCTTGATTTCGGCGCTTTGTTCGCGGAACTTGAGTTGCTTCAGCTTTTTAATGTCCTCGTCCAGCTCGAGATTGTCCAAGATCACGGCGACAAAGAGGCTCAATACGATCTGAAGAGATAACGAAGATCATGTCAAGTTTCTCAACGACGACGGCACGTGCTGATCGCACACAAAAGAGAATGAACGGCGTGACAATGATTACCAGTGTGACGAAGAGATGATATAGGATAAAGTACACTGCGACGAAAGGTGCCATCGTCTCGTGAGTTCGGAGCATAGTCTCGTCCATGACGTCCACCCAAGCTTCTTGCGTGAGGATTTGGAACATCGACATGAACGCCTGAAAAGAGAAGTTGTGCTTTAGAGCCCGAAAGCCGAAGATGGTGGTTCCACGAACCACCATCAAATATCAGCGACTCACCTCGGGAAAGGTCTCAAACTTGGTGAAGTCGCAGAGGAAGCAGAAGAGCTGCATAGAGATGCTGGACGATATCACCAGCAGGCACATAGTAAAAATAATGAGGCTGCCGAGCTTCTTTCCAGGACCGAAAATCTTGTACACGAAGTCCTCCAGCATCGGGGACGCCTTGATAAGCCGAACTACTCGAAGAACCTTTTCACACACAAAGATGAATGGATAAAGCGTACACAGAAAAAAGAAATTAGTATCAATTCATATTCTCATATATAGGGTGGTTTCATAACACGTGGACATGTAATTTCAGAAATGAATTCGCAACAAAAATAACGTGAAAAGTTCATACAAATCATAGCATAGGCAGATTCTCAAGAGAAGACGTGAAGGCAGACAAAAGTAGAAACCTGAAAGTAAGTGAATCCAGAGAGATAGCAGAACGGAAGAATGTGTATAGTCGTGCCGACGGCAAGCAGCAGCTCAAACTTGTGAATCGAATGCTTAAAGTAACTCCGGAAGCCCAGGCACCAGATCTTGAAGAGAGTTTCCAGGTCGAGGAATATCGTGAAGGCGATCTCGGCATAGTAATAGTTATCGTAGTACGTGTGCCTCGGCTGCTCGTCGTGCTTGAAGCTCATAGTCGCAGTGGTGATGCCGTTCGCCAATATCGCACACATCACCACCATGCGAAAGTGCGGTGACCTGAGGATAGCGTGACAGTATGGCGAGGCTAAGCCGCCGTGCTTATTCTCGTCCAAAGTCACCAGCTTCCAACTGTTATCGTCTCCGGTCAATATCTGCAATTGAGGAATCGATGATTTAACCCTAGAAGCACGTAATATTATTTAATATTAAGTAATATTTCTGGAATATTAATAGATATATATGTCCACTCCTAATAATATTTAAAAAATAATATTACTTAATGTTATTNACGAAAGGCGATGGTGACAATAAATTATCTCTCGTTCGAAAATGAACTTGTCTTTATTATGTTTTCCGCCCGATACAGTATTTCTAGTGTGACCGACAGCGTGTCGGTCCCCAAGAGCTGAGAGTCTAGAGTCGCGAGTCGCCTCGGTTTTACGTCCCTTTTATCCTCTTCCTATGTCTCAATCAGAGGGGGACAGTTTTGATGTGTCAGCGTCACTTGGGTATGGACGCTGACCATCTTAATTTCGGTATTGCGTTCGCCAGAATGCAGAGTTGCCTTTCCGCAAAGTGACGTTTTGTAATTTGAGGTCGTGCTTTGTTTACGGCCATCGACATGTCTCATCGTTATGCTTACAACTATATATATATATATATATTGTTGTAAGCATAACGATGAGACATGTCGATGGCCGTAAACAAAGCACGACCTCAAATTACAAAACGTCACTTTGCGGAAAGGCAACTCTGCATTCTGGCGAACGCAATACCGAAATTAAGATGGTCAGCGTCCATACCCAAGTGACGCTGACACATCAAAACTGTCCCCCTCTGATTGAGACATAGGAAGAGGATAAAAGGGACGTAAAACCGAGGCGACTCGCGACTCTAGACTCTCAGCTCTTGGGGACCGACACGCTGTCGGTCACACTAGAAATACTGTATCGGGCGGAAAACATAATAAAGACAAGTTCATTTTCGAACGAGAGATAATTTATTGTCACCATCGCCTTTCGTTCTACCGCGCTGTGACGGACACCCCACACTACTCGCGTCGACTCGACTCACGCAACAATATATATATATATATATATATAAAATTTTAATTTCTTATTTGAATTGTATTGCAATTGTTTTATTATATAAATAAAGTCGAAAGAATTTTGTGTAAAAATACGTTTTATACTAAAAAAATTATACACACATATATATGTATAATGCCATTTTCTTTTTTTATGAGTTCTATACGAATTTTTTTGACCAAGTTATCAGATGTTAAAGAAAAAACCGCATCTTTGACTTTAAACGATCCTCGAGAAGATCAGGTCTCAATCTTCGAGAGATCAGATCTCAATCTTTGTCTAATTGTTGAAGCAATTAGATAATATTTCAATGTATATGCAACGTAAATTTCATCGAATTCTTGTAAAATTCATTTTACCTTACAATCTCCTTAATTAAAGTTTTACATTACTATTTAAGTTAATTTTACACCACGATATCCATATTTTTTATCGATTTTTCACTTGACTTGTGTCTCGGAGAAAATCCAGAAATAAGGAGAGTAACTTTCTTTGAAGATTATAAAGAAAAAATAAGTGGAGACTGACTTGCGACGCTGAGCTGTTGCTGATTTGGCCCCTGACGCCCCACATTTGCTGGAACTGTACTCGGATTTCGTTGAAGGTCTCCGTGATGACGGCGATGAAGACGTTCTTCACTAACCAGGCCAGAAAGAATATCATCGTACTGAAGTAAAGAACCGCGCGCCATGCTGGCAGACTATCTATCGCTCGATACATGATGAAGACCCAACCTTCTTGAGAGGCTGCTTGATACACGGTGAATATACTGGTGGCTATACAGACCAAATTTTACAGTCAAATTCGTACATATTGTTTGCGATTTCGCTGCATGTTTATGACACAATTCAGTATTAAGTCTGCTAAATATTTTGTATTCGGAAAATTAGTCTCGATAGTATCATAATTGTAATATATTATAATTTATAAATGTATCTGTTGATAAGCGGCTATGATAGAAGAATGTTGTGTGACCTCGTTTTTCTATATATGTAAAACGAAATATCGGATGTAGGATTAAAACTATAAAATCGTGTGACTCGTAAACCTGACAACTTTCAACGAATTAGAGATCTTCTTTTGCAGTGTGATATCGCGAGGATAATCCTTAGACAGTCACTATCAGAAAATAAATTTGAGACGTGCTATATAAAAACGATGGGCGTAATATTAATATTAACTACTACCAAACTCGTCAAATCCATTGAAGCCTATGATATACTTGGTTAACTCCAGCTTCATGCAGATCATCCCTTCGGGACATTGGTATCCGGATTCCGGGTCGGTGGAGCAGAATGTGTCGGGAATGGCCAGACTGTTGATCGTGATGTAGTGCCGATCGGTGGTGTTCAGTACGCAATGATTCTTCAGCTCGCCAAAAAATTGCACCCCCAGGAAGCCGTAGAGGGACATGAAGAATAGGAAGAAGAGCGTCACGTTGTAGATCTGCTGGCTCGAACGTCTGTGTCGAATCGAATGATCAGCGATTAACGATAGCTTAACAATTGGAAACAGTTGAACATTGAGAAATTAACGATCAAGAGAATAGGAAGAAAACTCGCTGTATCTAGTCAATGACGATGCCGTGTGTCGGTTCTAGCTTAATTCTCTTACTTAAAAATCTGGTTGATTCTATTCTTGGGCATTGAGAACTTGAGGAAGACCCGTAGGAAGCGTATCATGATGAGCGGCCGTGGTGCTCGCATAATCGAGGCATAACTGAACTTGACGAGGAAACCCAGCATCTCGAACATTTGCAGGATCACAGACAGCCAGAGGAAGATCACCATGCTCGCGTCGAATTGGCACCAGTGGTCCTTCAAGTAAGACTTATCCCTCTGCAACGCCATTAGAAGTTCCACCTTGATCCAAGTTAAACGACAAATTGTACAATTACTCGATTACGCTTTCTCGATGGGAAAGATCTTACCTTTAGTATTCCACGTATGTACATTTTGGCGATCATCTCGGCGGTGAACAGAAACGTGACTAACAGATCGCAAATGAAAGTGACGTATTGCAGGGACGGTATCTTGTCGAAGGTCTTCGGGGTGTTCAAGCAAACAGAAGCCAGCGAGACCAAAGCGCAGAAGCGCATCAGTCTCCTCACCCATAGCTGAAATAATTTTCTACAATGCACACTTCGCGAATAGATTGGACATGTGGTCTATTTCGGAAATCTCGGAAAAATTGAGGGAAGATCCCTTGAAACGCGAAAGAAAAAGAAAACTTCGCATTGCTCGATAGCATAATTCACGTTCAATCGATTCTGCAACATTAACGGTGCCACGAACAAGCGAGAAAGATTCGAGGAAAAAAGATCGAATATTTTTAAGATGGATCTGCAATAGAATGTAGTAAATGTTTAGTTTTTTGCTCTGAGCAGCGAATTGTAACGTAATCTTTAGCAAAAAGCGTTTCCAGTTCGACCGAATATTGCAATTCTCAAGATTTAAAAAAACTATTAAATGCTGTATGTCTGATGTGGAGTATCAAGGAAGTCTTACATAAATTTTCTATTTATCAAACAAAATCAGTTAATTTAATTAATTAGTTACATAGTTTCTATATACACAGAGAAGAAGATTCCTTTGGATTTAATAACCCAGGAAAAAAGATCATATATGAAATTTATTCATAGACTATATATAATCATAAATGTCCACCAACGAAAAAACATTGTTGTTTACAAATTATATGTAAATACAATCGAAGTAAATGTTTCTGACTATTTATGCTTTTGACAGCACATGATGTCGACATTTAATCAAATGACGTAACATCATTTTTTTCGTATAGATATATATGATCATATATGTAATGATGCATATGGCAAAATTCATATATGATTTTATATAATTATATGTAATAATATATAATCATTTTTTCCGCGGCAGATATTGCAATTCCTAAGATTTGTTAGCGTTAAGAGCGTTATTAAGCGACTTTTGATAATGTGGGAAGCTTTTTTCAGAAATTTCGTTACATTTTCTTATTTAGAGCAAAAAACTTGCCACATTCGTCCCAGGTCCAGATTTAAAGTTTGCGATTTTCATCCCACGATTCCTACTTCCGCTCACCTTATTCACCCATTCTATGTCAGCGCTCTCATTGAGGGACTCCTCCGGGCCGTAATCGGCCAGAACGGGTTCCCCTTTGAGGCTCTGCTTCCGCCCCAACATCATAATAGGGATTATATTCGCAATCTTGAGGCCTGCAAAAAACAAATATATAAATTGCGCCGAATCATTTAAATATACGCAAGCATATTAGTTTATCTTTTGAAAAATGTGAACAAATCATATAACCATATTTTATTAAAAGTTATGCCAGAAAATAATGGGTCAGCTTAATTTTATAAGTTGTGTGTATGTGTGTTTTTACATATCGCCCACTTAAGCTTTTCACACTACACTGAGAAAAAGAGACTTAAAAATTTATTTGTGAAATATAAGGTTTATTTCATAGAAATAAACGTTTATTTAAATACGACGAAATAAAATTTTATTCCTAGCAAATAAACCAATTAATAAGAAAATTTAGGTATATTTCACAAAAATATATATCCCATCGTCACAGTTAAATTTTTTTGTAACCAATAAATATCGAAGAAAATATCACAAGAAATTTTTACTTTGCAAAATTGCATAATTTTTTCTCAGTACATGCACACTGAAAGAAAGAAATGCTACATTCAAGAAAATATTTGCTAAAGAATATTGGAATAATTATAATTATTTGAATTAGGTAAATAATATTTGAACATAGCGTCTTTTTCTTCCAATGTGTTACATTCAAGTAATATTTATTCGAGCCAAATAAAATAATTACTCCTCGATACTCCTTGGCAAATATTTATTGGAATGTAGCACTTTTTTTCTTTCAGCATATACATATGCATGCATCGTTAGTTTTAAAATATCTCAGGATCTCGAAATAACAACAACATTAAATAAATACGAAAGAGTATATATACAGTTATATACTTTATCATGTACATAAAGAATAGCTCACTTTTCACGCACTATTTATGCGCGTATTCGAAGAAATTGAAACACAATATGTTAAAAATAACGTAACGGCTCATATTAGAAAAAGAAAATAGAACTTAAGGAAAGATCTAATTCGCTCGCATACAGACGTCTTCATGTATCGACAAACTAGAGACATATCGAGAGTATATCGAAGTATTTACCTTTCTGTTAACTGTTTATGGAACGACAAACGCTGCCTTTACGGCAATTTCTATAGACTACATCTCGGAAATATAAAATAACGGTAATGCTCAACGTGCGATAAACATCTCAGAGATAATAACAAGCTGGCGGTGTCGCGACGAACATTTTCCCGACCGTGTCGCCAGCTGTCCAGCAACGCCGACCGAACGCAGGTCCGAGCGTGTGCGGGCATGAGCGGTGTGCGCGCGTCGTCATTTCACGAGAAAATCAATATTTCATTATCTCGAAGCGCGCGCAAATTTCCCGAGAGAAATCGCGAGACTCCGACACGGTTTAATCTCGTCGCGTCTCAGGCACGCTCTCCGCGAGTATTCTCACTCAGTTCAATCAATCATTCTTTAAATCGTTAGGTAGTGAATGTCTCCGCGTCGTCGATAATAATACTTAACAATATCCGCCGCATATATCGACGCGTAACTTTGATCCTCGACACATTAAAAATCTACGATTTACTCGTTATACGAGAATGGATGTTAAATTAATAAATCTAACTTAAATAACTTGAGTAACGGTAATATTATTGCAACGAGCTGATTGCGCTACGAAAGTGAAGGAAATGTGGAAAGATGGATATTAGAAAGACATTTGTGATGTATTATATTCTCTCTTTTTCTCGTATTTTCGTGCAAGCTCGCAAGTTAAAAAAAACATATGAAAAAGTCGTTTATTTGTATTAGTCGCTCTGTACGTTCGTTAATGTTTCATTCTGTAAGACGACGCTTTGCGCTCTTCCTTTTTTCGTTTTTTTCCCCCATTCACTCGTGTAACTCGAGATTAGCGTGTAATTAGTTTTACCGCCCGCCCTACCAATCATACATTGTAATCGCGAGTCAGATCTCTCTTCAACGGAGATTGTCTTTCACGCGGCGTTCTTCTCCGCAGCGGCCACGAGCTTCGAGAATTCGGAGTCCGGCCGAGAAAGTAGAACGGCCGGCGTGTCGAATTCGACGACCCTGCTGTCGCTCATGACGAGAATGCGATCGGACGCAACGACCGTTTGCAGCCGATGAGCGATCGTAAGTACAGTGCAATCGACAAACTCTGTCTGCAAGGTGTTCTGCACCGCCGCTTCGGTCTCGGGATCAACGGCCGCTGTGGCTTCGTCAAGCAGCAATATCTGGAGAACAAAGATATTTCGTCTCGATCATGCGATCTCGAATTCGACGGAACTTTGGAGAGATACCAAGAATTACTCGCGATTACAGGAAGTGTTCGGAAACATATGAACACGGGGGAAAAAGTTAAACTCGTGTCAGATTAGATATTGGGGATTATGAACGATACTGGACATTGACGATTGGATATGTGATCAATCGACGCGAAGCGAGCTGGGATCTCGTTGAGATGAAAGATAAGATCTACGCCAATGCTCTGCAAACTATTCAAGAGCTCAAAATAATATCAAAAGCATTATTCACAAAATCGAGCCGCAATTATGCGAAAACGTGACGCGAGATTTCTTCGAAAAAGTTATCATTTGTAAAAAAAAAAAGTCAAGACGGTCATTTATTAGATATCGTGTCCCACAATGAATCGTACAATTTTTACTTTGTATCGGGATAAAAATATCACCACTTTAAAAAAAAAACTTTGTTTTTCCAATAATTTAAAATGTAATCTTAATTCAAAAACCCCGTATAATCTTCAATCTCCAATATATCTAAGCTGATATAGATTTTACGTTTTATATTTTCCATCAAATACCAACAGTGACATAACATTAATATTATAATTTTTCACTCAACAACTGTTATGTTATTGTTTTTGCTGTGTTACCTTAGCGCTGTGCAGCAAGGCCCTCGACAGACAAAGAAGCTGTCTCTCGCCGACGCTCAAGTTATTCCCGCCGAAGCCAACGGAAGCGTCGAGATTTCCCGGCATGAGGGACACCTTGTCTTTCATTCGTGTCTTCTCGAGAGCGTCCCAAATGTCCGAGTCGGCGTGCTGTTGGAAAGGGTCCAAATTCGATCTGAAAAGCAACAGGCAATAATAACATCTGTGTGAACGATAGAGAGACGGGGAAAACAAAAGTCGAAAGTTAAATGAAATCGGTTCGAACGTTCCACCTTATGGTGCCGCTGAATAAAATTGGATCCTGCGGGATGATTGACAGTTTACTTCTTAATACATCCAATTCCAACTTCGAGATGTCGATACCGTCGATCTTAATGACGCCTTCGCAAATCTCAACCAGCCGGAATAAAGCCACGATCAAAGAGCTTTTGCCGGATCCGGTACGACCCACGATACCTGAAACAATCGTTCGTCTGCGTAAAATAACGCAACAAACGCGTCGTCGTTGGCGAACTATTTATTTCTATTCTATTTTCTAAAGTTGAAAAGATAATAACTAATTAATCAGTTGAAAGTTAAGCTAAAAAGCTCACAATTTTTAACTTAACTCAGTTAATTCTGAATGAGTTGGCCTCAAGCTAGTTATTTTAAAATGCGTTAACTTTAACTCCTTAATATTTTTTACACAAAATAATTCATTAAGATCATTGTGGGTAGTATAGTTGAAGGGCTCAGGAAAAAACCGGGGTTTCCCACGAAGTTACCCGAATCTACTCTGAAATTTCCAGCTTACCGCTTCCCGTATACTCATTTAGCTTGTGCAGATTAATTAATTCCTCATTACCTATTGCGAGTTCTGTAAAATAATACATAGCTTTCTTGTTCAGTCTCACCCGTTCTACCTGCACATCATGAAGATCAAGAAAGATTTCAGACACCCTATATATAACCATTTATTTTTTCAACACATTCCCAATAGTCATCCTGTACGTATACATGGCTTTGCAATTAACTTTTAACTTGAATAAGTTAATTTATATTTAATTTAATTTTTGGTCTAGTTAGATTTTAATTTAATTCTTGTTTAGACAATTTTTTATTTAACCAACTTGCAAGTTAATTTTACAGGGGTCGTTAGCTTTTAATTAAGTTGAAAATAATAATTAACTTATCCAACTCCGTTACTTTTCTATTCTATTTTTCTACTTGTTACCTATTTTCTCTCCAGCTTTAACGCTGAAGGATACATCAATCAGCACGAGCGGCAGTTCTTCTCTGTATCTCATTTGAACCGATTTGAATTGTATTTTTCCGCACGAAGGCCAATTGTCCGCCGGTTTAACGTCGACCGTCTTGCTCGCGCCTTCTCTCTGTAAAGTCTGTACAGAAATAAAACACAAATAACAAAGATCAAGATAAAGATACTCGATCGATAAATTACTCGATATTACTCTTGCAAAATAAGTAATTATTCTGTTGCACCATAACGCGCGGCCACATGGCAGCAAAAAAGACAAAAAATCTCTTATCTATATATTGGAAAATTCTCCCGCACGCGGCTTATTCGCCAGATTTAGCCCCGTCGAATTATCACTTGTTTTGATCGTTTCAACATTATTTGGCGGATACGCATTTTAAAACAGTTGACGAGGTCTAAAAAACATTGATGACTCTATCGAGTCAAAACCGTCAAGTTTTTTCCGCGAGGGTATTCGTCAGCTACCCGATAGATGGAGTAAAGTCATGGAAAATAATAAAAATTATGTCGAACATTAACCCGTTGCGTTCTTATGTCGAGCGTCACTCGACACAGCGTTTCGTTCCAGCAAGTCCTATGTCGAGCGACACTCGACACCGCGTTTCGTTCCAACGCGTCCTATGACGCAACAGAGTCAACGTTGACAGAGTCTTCATCGTACGCTAAAAGAGATAAGATAAGAGCTGCAGTGTAGCATCATAAATGTTTTCCAAAGTAAACGGTACCAAGCGGATGAGCGATTGGCGAAATCTGTGCGGACCAGCTGGGACGAAATTGCGAATACAGCGCGGACCGCAACGGGTTAAACTTGTACTTGACTTTTTGTCAATAAATTTTGAATTTCACAAAAAAGGTACCGGATTAATTTGTACACCTAATATCCCAGAGTTAAAAACATAACGAATGTTACACGGAAACAAGTGACTCACCTTGAGGTAGTAACTGATTCTTTCCACGCTTATAAAACGTACTTCCGTCTCGGACATCAGTCTGACGGTGTACTGGAAAACGCCGGTCATCTGAGTCGAGTACGCCATTGCTAGACCGGCGAAAGCCGGCGACAGTTCATTCTTGAGGAAGATCACGAGTAACGCAGTTACGAAAGATGAAGCAATCACTAAGCTGTCCAGTCTTACCGCGGACCATCTCATCGCGGCTTGGCACAGAAACTGGCACAGATTGTTCATGTTGTACAGATCCTCGAATCTGTCGATCATGAAGAAGCGATGATCATTCAACCTCGTCGCACTTTCTCACCGTTATATCTCGTTGCTAACTCACGACTATTGAAAAATTAGGAAGGTATCAATGAATTACTTGTATATGAAATTCTTCTCCTTTTGAAACGCGTGGATCGTGCTCAGACCTTGGATCGTCGTGGTGACGAAACTCAAAACGGGAGACCGTGAGACGTTCTCCATTCTCTTCAGGTCCCTCATGCCTATCCTGCGGAGACGCGAAAAATAAAATTGAGAAACGGTCGCCACTATTAGGGGCATATAAATAATGTCGTTTTTTTTTTCAGATTGAATAAATATCCACTATGAAGTTTTGAATCCCACAATGAAACCATAACTACTGAATATTATTGTATCTCTTTTACACAACTCGATAGACCGAGCATCGCTTTGCTTCAAAAATGTCTAAGGCTGATTAATCGAAAGGGTGTTGTTCTCCAGCATAACGTAAGAATCATCTCGCCAACTCATAGCACCAGAATCACCCAAGAAAAAATCAAGGAGTTTGGACGGGGAATTATATTGTAGATTAATATGTACTAAATGTTAAATAAAATAAAATTTTGTATAAGTATCAAAAAGCGACATTATTTATGGGTACCCCTAATACTATCTTACGGAAGAATTATGTGGTGTATAAATCGATCTTTCACCTACCTGAATAATTTACTAACGAAGAAGAACAATCCACCGAATAGAAGTAATGGTAAGGAAAACCAGGGCAATACGCCACAGATGAAAAATATGGCAAAGCTACAAGTGAAAATGTTCTGCACCATGTTCTCTATCGATATAGGTAAGTAATTGTCAACTGTAAGGAAAGTATGGTCAAAATTAGACGATATATATGTAGGTTTGATTCGCATGTTTCTCTACATACGCGCAGGCATCCCCGAGAGCACTCACTTTCGTCCACGTCTCGACTGAACACATTTTGGATTCTACCGCTAGGAGTAGTCTCGAAGAACTTCACCGGGGAACCGATCAGCTTGCGGAGAAACGTATTGTGCAATGTGGTCGAGGCTCTTATCGTTGCAAACATAATCACGAAGCCGCGAATTAAACTCGTCAATAATATGCCACCGATGCACGCGGTATAGATATTTTTGTAATACGAGAAGTCCGGGTTGGCGTTTATGTTCCCCGAATACACAGTCTCGTTGCTTCCAGGCAAGGTCACGTTCTGAAAATCGTTGTGCGAATTGAAAACACGAATTGAAAATTACATGAGCAAACATTGTAACCGAAACATTGTAAGCGTATTTAATAAAGTAAAACGACAATAATAATGACAATTAATATAAATAATAGCAGTAGTGATAATAGGAAATGCGTATGTATAATATACAGGGTATCCAACATCAATATATATACTTAGTGAGGTCGTAGAAGGGATTGAGGTGAACAAAAAGTCCTGTACCATTTTACAAACAACAGGCAAAATTTCGAGTTATTAATTATTTAAAATGGCCACGTATAGAGGCTTTTTTAATTAATAACTTAAAAATTTGCATGTAATTTGCAAAACGATACAGGACTTTTTTGTTCAGAACTTTCTAATCACAAGTATATGACAGCTGTTGTAACTAGCGACAGGTTCAAGATTCAATATACTGATATTCGCTCATGAAATTTGTTCATGCTGATCTGAGACATCTGGTATATGTACCTTTTCAAGCGTCAAAATGCAATATATATATTTACTCACACCGCCGCCAGCTTTGATCCACACAGCGAGCCACCAGGTGCTGAACGCTGAACTACCCACGTTCAAGAAAAACGTCAGGAATACGAGAATTGCGACGAGATAACCACCTGTGGCTTGTATGTACATGTGATAAGTGTACGACTTAACGGCACCCGTTTCAGTTTTCTCTTCTACTGTTAAAGTCTTGCCTAAATTACAGAATAGAAAAAAATAAAAATTAGAGAATAAAAAGAAAATTATTTTATTATTTATCATAATAAAATAATATTATGTTGATATTGTATTTATTATTATATTGATTATATTATAATATAATCAATTTAACAATAAATACAAATAAAATAATTCTAATATATATCATTTTATTACAATAATAAAATAATTTTCTTATTACATATACGATAATTATATATATTATTGTATTAAATATTTTATTTGCACACGCATGATGTTTAGATTTCAAGAAATTCGAAGTCCAAATTATATACAATCACCCTTCAACACGCTCACCCTTGTATAACTTTTCTTTCGTATAATTTTCCTTGCTCTCGAGTTCCGCCACAGTGTTCTGAGAATCTAAATTGTCATCACTGAGGATACTTTGCTGCACCGTCCCCGTGGGTTCTCCGCTATGAATAAACATATGTTATACTAAATTACCGCCTATTATAAATCGGATGTGTAATACGTGTCAAGTATATGCTAACATATTATCTTCCACTGCGATGATGCCGCTTCTCACCATCGATGCGTACTCTCTGTCAAGCCGCATAAGTTCCTCGTGTGTCCCGTGCTCCACAATCTTGCCTTCGCTCATCATGTAGATTTCGTCGCAACGTTTCAGGAACTACAACAACAAATATTGCATATACCAAACTTTAGGATATCTGCAAGTGCAATTGATTTGTCTTCAACTATTCCACAGTGTGGTTTGCTTCGTAAGAGATGATAATTTACCCAAAAGATGTAAAGCAGACGTAAAGATAATCCTCAAAACTGAGACCGCAAAGTATAAATAAGCGATGTTCGAAACAAGAAGCATATTTCGGAATAAATTAGGCACGCACTTGGATGTTGTATGTCACAAAGAGGACGGATTTGTTCCCAAGGGCCTCGACAATTAGTTTCTCGAATATATATGAACCCACGTAAGCGTCGACCGCGCTCAAAGGATCGTCGAGGAAGTAGATGTCCCTGAAACGAAAAATATGGTTGTAACAGCTATCGTGTTTTAACAATCGTTACACATTTCTGTGTCCAGAGTTGGGTAAGTAAATTATTATTTTCAACTAAATTGAGTCGAAAGTTAGTGGCTTATGAAATTAATCGGTTAAGTTAAAAGTTAACCTAAACCAAAACTAAATTAAATTAAACTTAATTAAAAGTTAAATTAATATAAAATTAATTTATTAAAGTTAAAAGTTAATTGTGCAAAACCATGTGCACATATATATATATACCTTTTCGCATAATTAACTTTCAATCGTAGATTAAATTTATGTTAAATAAAGAAAAGATAGTTTATTTTAAAGAAATACTGACTATCTTGTGCTCAGGATTTCATATAATAAATCCTGGTCTACAATAGATGCTTTAAGCTCTAAGATTCAAGAAATTGATCAATCACAGTCGAATGTCGAGGAGAATTGAGGAGAATAATCGACTGTGATTGGCCAATTTCTTAAGGCTTAGAGCTTAAATTTTCATTGTAGACCTTGCTTTAGAGCACTAACGCTCAAAGAGAGAGAAAAATCCTGCTGGCATTATTTCTGATTTTTCATACTTTATATTGTAAGGTAGCCAGGGCAAGATAACTTTTTAATGTTGATAAATTATTTTAATTTGTTTTAAAAAAGTTAACAAGTTAAAGTTAATGTATTTTAAGTTGACTAATTCAAATTAAAAGCAAACTCGTTTGAAACTGAGTTAAATAAAATATTATTAATTCTTTAACTTGACTTTTAACTGAGCAACCATTATCTACCCAATTATTACCCAATGATTACCAAATTATAATTCAACCCTGCTTCTGTCACACTGTAATCGGTACATTGGCAACGCGATTATGGAACGATAATAAAGGGGCGTTCGCACCGATTAGCATAGTACGCTCGCGCGAGCGCGACTCTCTGCCTCTGTCCCCCGGACAGGTTGATTCCCCTCTCACCGATCTCGGTCTCGTCACCGCCCGGGAGTATGTTTAGGTCATCCTTCAGGTTGCATATCGTGATCGTGTGGTAGTAACGCTTGGCGTCGAATTCCTCGCCGAACAGGACGTTCTCCTTGAAAGTGCCGTTCATAATCCATGCCTGCTGACTGACATAGGCGCAGGAACCTTCCCTCAAAATGTGGCCCTTCGTCATTCTCAGCTGGCCTAAGGCGGCCAGCAGGAGGCTGGACTTGCCGCTGCCTACGTGGCCGCAGATACCGACTAGCTTTCCCTTTGGCGCCCCGAAATGAATGTCGTTGAGAACCTCGAAATATTTGGCTTCCTGCGCCGACTGATTCAGGCTCTCCAACTCCTGTGGGTTGTTCGGGGGCGGCATCTTCCTGCGAACATTCAGCGAGAATTCAACTCAACCCGCACAGAGAAGATAGCGATGAGACTCATAGTTGTGAATCTGCTTACTTCTTCTTACCACCGTGGCCGATCGACGCGTTCGTCGTCATTTGAAGCTTCACGCTATCGCAGACGAAGCTGCCATTCGCGATGGCCACTGCTTGCGACCGCACGATCGGCTTCGACGCCTGGCAATTGCCCTCTTCCAGCAGCAGCACGCTCTGTACAAACATCCCTTTATTAGTCGAACTTATATGTTCGGTGAAGCTCCGGGAAGGACGAAGACAGCACAAAACTGAAAACCGAGACATAAGATGTTTTATGTCGCGGTTTTAGATTTTGTGCTGTCTGGAAAGCGATCGAGCAGAGTTAGAAGAGCATTGATATGTGAGAGATAATAGATAGAAGATAATAGAAATTTAATAGAGAAAGAAACGAGAGAAATACGATTCTTATGTACAAATAGAAAGAGAAATATAAAATATTCCAGCCACTCTAATATGTGCATGAATTAATTTCTAAGACTACAAGCGCAAAAGTTACAGCGTCCAGTCGTGCCGTTTTATAAGCTTGCGAATCTATATTAATATGTCGCACAAAATCGTCACAAGTACAATCGATGATACAAATACAAGCAAAGCGAGACGTATATATATATTGGGTCGATGCAAAAGTCTGTTCCGTTTTTCATTCATTAGTCCTTTGGTTGGAAGTCGCAGAATCTCCACGATCACGAGATTACGTATTGATTGAATGTATATAAATAAATATTATTTATATAATAATATATATAACTTTTTACTTAACTTTCAGTTTCAAATGAGTTTGCTCTTAACTTAAATCAGTCAACTTAAAATGCATTAACTTTAACTTGTTTACTTCTTTTATATAAATTAAAATAATTTATCAATATTAAAAAATTATTTTACCCTGGCTATCTTATAATGTAAAGTAAGAAAAGTCAGAAATAATGTCAGCAGAATTTATGTACATTTTATAATAAATAATAAATATTATGTACATTTTGATTGGGACACAAAACGAACTTTTGACGCATTAACCGAGATTATATACCGAGATATTAACGATAATTAAATAATGCTATTTTATAACGTGAACACCAAACACATTCGTCGCTAATATCGAGGCCAACAATTGTTATTCGGATGATAAAGATGATGAAGAAGAGAAAGAGAGAAACGTTATGATGCGACACATATATGTACACGACGTGAAAGACGAGCAACACATTCCTACTAAATATAGACGAAGAATAAACACCTTTATTCTGCCAAAAGTTATCTTTGCTGCTGTAATATTAACTAAGGCCACTTGCAAAAACATGAAAGAGGTACGAATTTGAGCATTGAGCACCGATACGAAGGGAAAGACCTGAAAAGTAACGCAGTGCGGCATTAAAACCACCTGTTAGGTACAAACTGTTAGGTACAAATTGTGAATTGTACTAATAGTACACGTAAGCGTACAGGAACGTCCCAATTCGACATTATTTACAACTCATGTGTGTCCAGTGCCACCAGAGGGATCGCGAACGGCAGCTGTTCGATCGTAACAAAGTACTCTTTCTATATACAAGACATGCAATTTTGTTTTTTGCCCATTGTGTCAATAATCTCCTGTAGTACCTCGAAAGCTCGTGTTTCTTTACATTAAAACATTTACATCTCGCGTACGTATTATTGTGAAAACAGCACCCAGTGTTGTGTACCTTTCTTCGTGCTATCTGTGTCTATCTCGCTCTACAAAGCTTACTTATTGTAAAACATTCCGTTCAAATGTTTTACAATATAAATAGCAATTGAATACGTTTAATCAATTGTCGACAGGTAGAATTTCTAAGAAGAGAGCTCGGACATACTGGTTAATCATATTTTCTCTTGATGCCGATTTTTATAAAAGAACGTCAAGAAGAATTCACAAGAGACTGACTTAGCCAAATACGAATGCTGGTTTCCTGATAATAGGCACGGGTAACCGGCGCATTAAGCTCTATACATTAAATTAATCGAACAATACTAGGAGACCTTAAATCTTCTAAGAGATAGAAGAGCGGTGATAAAATATCGCATGGTATCCCTAAGTGACGTGAGCGCCAGCCTAAGCAAATTCCCAAATAATGTGGTCATTGGGAAAGCCTGTAACGTATAATCCATTAAGTTTAATACCATTCGCAAGAATCCAACGGGATACATTTAATTTAATTAACGTAACTAAAGCTACAAATGTCAATGAATAAAATTGAACGAATACCGATTTTTTATTCTCGCGTCTCGGTATCTAACATCTTAAAAACTGCTTACCTATTGAACGTTTAGCCAAATTCTCCTGATATACATAAAATCAAGATATTTATAAAAAAAACGTTAAACATGTTGAACATCGGCGATTATACCGGAAGGATGGATGAGATTCTGTACCTGTGCAGCGGTTAATCCATTGCCCGAGGCAACGTATGCTAAAAATGTGATGATCGCGGATATCACAGGTATAGCGGGCGTTAGAGAAATGCTAAGACTTTGAAAATACGCAATCTTGTGAAGCCAACGTTCTTCCTTCTTGCGTATAGCTGCAAAGAGAGACGCTGTCAGAGACATAAAACATTTACTCAAATTCGAGCTTGCGTGTTTCCTTAATTCTTTCCTTAACCCTTTCAGTCACATATATGGGCACCTCTTTTATCTTCTTTTTTTAATCATATCATGCAGCAACAATATTATTGAACTTTTATTTTCGACTACCTATAAATTCAATATTGACTCCTCATTGGTTATTTTCTTCAATATTGTCAATATTTTTGTTGTTACAAACAAATACTCAAAAATATTTTTTACATATTTGTATTTAAATATTTGTATATAAACTATTCTAAATAAACGCATAATTTTTTTTTAAATAATGCAGATGTTCTAAGGAACAAAATATGCATTTTTGCAGGTTTTTTCCGAAATTCAATTTTCAACCGTTTGCGATACAAAGTGGAAAACGATTTTTATAAATAAATATTTTTTGAATAAATGCAATTTTGTGATAACTTGAAAGGTTAATGCGTTGTGCATTACAAAAGTTTTTGGGGCTGCTATATATATAATTCAAATTTTCTGTTAAAATTTTGTATTCAAAAGAGTAAATTCAATACGATAAATCCTAATAATTGAAATATGAATTTTCATCTATATTATTTTCGTAATCGGTGCGCTTAAAAACTTCTATATTCCAAATTTGGAGGCATTGATACAAATAGCCATATTGGATCCGCCATTTTGATTATTTTAATTGTGACATTATTTTTGCAATTTATACCTTTTGAAATTCTTTATATCCTAAATTTAAAGACGTTCAAGCAAATATACACATTTTTTGAAAATTCCATCGTCATATTCAAAATGGATCCATCATTTTGAATTTTACAAATCTGACAGCGGATTTGAAATTAGCGACTCCACAAACCTATAATAGCACGCATGATGTAAAGATTTGTATGCTTTTTCGACTAAAAGGGTTAATCAAGAATATATCAAAATCGTGACAGAGTTGAGAAAGATGCACATAATATTGGCAGAGTTTCTCATTATAACCGATGCATCTGTCATATTGAATTAAAATCAGAAAATTAAATCATTTTATCTCACTGCAAATTATTCTCACCGAGAAGTTTTTGGCTAAAATATTTCTCCCACGCGTACATCTTGATCAATTTTATGCATTCCAGGATCTCACTCATAAGGCGTATCCGAGAATCCGTGATGACTATCGACTTCTCACGGAAGTAACCGGTCGCGCGTGAAATCAAAAACTGTAAACACGAATATCGCATTAATATCGCTGAAATATGCGTGTTGTATGTGTTGCAAAGGCGAACAATCGCTCACCTGACATGGATAAAAGGAGAGGAAGGCTATCATTCCCAACAGAGAAATAGGATTGAACAACCAGAGTACATAAATTATACCACAGCTTATGACTATTGGTCCAGAGATGATCATCGGTCCGTAAATGATCACGTCAAACAGCCTTTGACTGTCATTGCAAAATAAGTTGATCACCTGAAAAAAAGTTACGGAGTTAGCTTGCACATCGAGAGAGAGAGAGAGAGAGAGAAAGCAACCTGTAAAAAAAGTGTTCAAATCTTCCAAAAACAAATTGGATCTTACTCACTTCTCCTGTACTTTTACTACCGAGACTATTTAATTTGATAATCTTCTTGTACAACAAAGTCGTACAAGCTGACTTCAGTCGTAATCCGGTCTTGTAGTTCATGTTCCACGTCCAAGTAAAAAAAAATGCGCGCAGGGAATCACATAGTGCTAGCAGTACAACCCACTTAATGCCATCCCAAAAGTTTTCTTCTGGAGATTCCATATATTCCAGGATCTTTCTCATTAATATCGTCTATGTAAAAAAAAATTACATGTAAGTAATAATGTAAATATAATTATCTATATATTAATTGTACAATAAAATATATATATATATATATATATATATATATATAGTGTCAATTAATCCGGAATTAATACAGTATACAAGAAATCAATATTTTGATTAAAATTATTGCGTAATAAATAAATATCTCTTAAAACAAGTTTCATGTTACAAAAATGTTATGCTGTTACAATGGCAGCATAAAGCATGCTTTAAATGTTTATATAGTATATTCAGCATTTCTACCTGGGTTATGTATAATAATGTAAATACATCTGATATACAATATACTGCAAATGAAAGGGTAATCTTACAGGACTTATGAATCCAAAAATAAGGGAACAGGTGAGTAAAATGCACGATATATAAACTCTCGTGCGCACAAATCTCCACGCCACCATGCTGAACGAGGCTGCGCTGGGACCATTTTTACTTAGCTCCTGTTGCCACAGTACTTCTAACCTGAAAGAATTATTTTTTTTCATACTTTGTGTTGTCGTGTTCAGAAGGATGCGATAACGCACGTTGGATCATTTTTACCTAAGCGTATTGTACTCGCAAGAATCGAACGTCGAGATACTCGGCAAGTCTTTAATCGTAAGCCCTTTCTTGTAAGCTTTCCACAAGTAGCGTGTCATCCAAGTTATATACACATAAGAAAATAACCCAGCTTTATCCATTGGTGCATCTTCTTTCTGTCTGTAAAGAGGATTATACTTTTTATTACCGGGATTATACACAGGACTCTATTATATATAGAATGTTTCATTATTTATGGAACCTTAAATAGTGAGTTCAACGTCAGCAGATAATCACAAATGCTTGTATAAATGTATGACCTATACGAATTTGTGGATTTGAATCATAGTCACGTTTGTGATGCAACACACGTACAATTTGTACCATAAATCAAGTATATAGATGACTTATTATTTTTGAAATTAGACTAATAATAAATCCTAATGCTTAAAAATGTTTACACGTTTTATATTTCATGTTATAATTTTACCATGACTGATCCATAAATATTTTTTATAATATCATACCCACAGATAACCAAACCTGTGCAAACAAATTTTGAGCAGTCTGTTATAAATTTTTTATGATAGAAAGGCAACAAATTTAACACAAATCCAACAGAATCTATTCTATCAGATTATGTATTGCCCGAGTACTGCCAGAAATGCGACAGAAATCAAATAAAGCTGTAGCGATTTGACAGCAAATAGACTGCAGAAATCGAGCAGACCTTATAGCACACAGTTTAGCAGCAGGATCTGCACAACTTCTGCTGCCAATCTGCTTGCACACTCTGTCGCCAGAACACGAGTTGATTTAGAACACAATAGACCAGAGATTTGGCAGCTTCGTTTGGTAGGTAATTGCTGCCTGGTTGTTAACAAAGCAAATGGTTAGCTAAATATACATGTTTATGAATCACTCCAATTTGTTAGTATACTCACTAGAAGTGGTTCACTCATAACAAAACATCCTGTGTTGAATTACCGCTCTAAATAATTATTTTAAACTTCTAGGTGCACATGTAATTGAAGTATTCGGTTCACGATACATACTGGGACTGGAATCGCACTGGTATTAAATTATTCAGAGCATTATTGTACTTCTTCATTCCAGACCTTGGAATATATTCTCTAGCTTGTCTTGCTGTGCTACAACCAGCTCTTGGTAGTAGAGATTGTCCTTGCCTCTCAGGTTCTAAAGATCTAATGGAAAAATGGAATTATCATATTTTTTGGATTAGTTTAGACCTCTGAATTGGTCCAGCTATTCTTGTTTCCTCTTAAAAAAAACACAAGAGATAACTAATTTCTCATACTTCTCCCTGTGATTCTGCTGCACATTATTTTTAGTCAATTTATCGATACTATCTTGTCCTCCTGCAGTTTGATCCATCTTTATAAGACAATGTTCTCCAATATGTTCACTTTAATAGAAATATCGATGATCCTAGAAGAATCTGAAAATAACATTTACATAATAATTTAGATTGAGAAGTACAGAGGCAAATGTCCTAGCACTGTAACATTTCGGCTCATCGATGAAATAAAATCACAGGAGAATAACTGCATAAAGTAGAAGCTAAGAGATTTTTATCTATAGAGACGTTAAAGAACAGGCATTCTTTTATTAGAGTTATTAGATCTGCGATATAATAAAATTTCATTCTTCAGGGATTTCTCGCAGTTTTTCGAAGAACTCGATCGCATAAGTGAAAGAAACAACCGCTATATTGTCTATTTTCATCGGATCGTGGATCTTTATACTCACCTTGCCGGCAATCAACAGGTTATTTATCACGGGACGTGAATTAGTCGTCAGTTACATCGGTGAACTGATAAGAGAAACGGAGTGTAATCTTGAGACATCGTTAATGAGACGCGAGAGATACGTGTGAGCGTGTAGTATTTTTCAAATTTCCGCCTTTCGCGCGCCACTGGAGGGGGAATATACGACATGTCTATGCATGTAGCACACTTTTTCTGCCTGCCCGCTGATAAGCACTGATAAACATAACCACCGACAAACAGTTCGATACCTGTTGATAGTAGCATGTCATATTTAACAATGGCGTTATTGAAGCGTCAGCGACGATAACGAGAACTCAAATTGCGGTGCAGTAGCCAATGAAAATGCGATCCTTATGGCGTTTTCGCGATGTACACGCACACCAAACACATGACACACAATTTTTCGATGTGATCAGTGTTCGAAAATCGAACTTACCAAAACTTAGAGGAGCTCCTATTGTTTGATAACGTGAAATCGCATTGTCAATGCGCGAATGTCGACGAAGGGAAGATTCACTAGCAAATAAATTTCTCTCGGCATGTTCTTTGTGTGTATGTGTGTGTGACTTCATTTCCTGAAAGCGTAGGCGGACGTGGATCGCACATATCTCTGTTTCGAGATTACTTTTGTGTCAGACAGATTTTCTTCCCCCGGGGAACGAACTTCCGTTCCGGCGGTGCGATGAACTCCGCGTGCATTGTTTATTCAATCAAGCATGATTAAGCGCGATGAAGCGTCCATACGTGAGCGACGTGTGGCGAGAAAACGCACGTACGACTTAGCTGTGGCTTCATGTACAGGGTGTTTGACAATTTTCCGAACCACAGGCTGACTTCGCAAGTTTGAGCCTTGAATGTTTAGATGGATAGTTTTGTTCATTCTCCTCGAAACCAATCCAGTAAGCAAGAAACGTTAAATCGATCTTTTGAAACGTTGATTTGATATGTGGATTTTAGAAACATCTTGACATAATATTTTATATATGTTCTTAAACTGTTATAATATAATGGTGATAATATAATATTCCTGAATATTAAAATATTGTATAGATATTATTTTTAATGTTTGGGCCAAATATTGTTAGCAATGACGTTGTATACAACATTAAGAACTATATATTTGAAAATGTTACATGTTATTAAATATCATCGTAATAACGTTGTATCAATTATTTTTTGCTTACTGGATACTTCAATTATATTTGACTGTGTTCTAATATTGATTACCTGTACTGAAAATCTATAGTATATGTGACATGAATTATACTCAATAAGCAAAAAATTATTAATACAATGTTATTACAACGATATTCCTGAATCTGTAATGTTGTTAAATATGTATTTCTCATATAATATGTATGTTGTATAGAACATCACGACAAACATATTTTAACTGCAANTCAGAGAAAATTGATAAAATGATAAAATTTCAACGTACTATCAACTTTATTGCAGTATTATTTTAACATTACCATAATATTAATCCTAACATACATTTAAAATTGTTATTGACGTTTTGTTCCTATTGTCATATTACAAAAAATTTATTACTAGCTATGATAAATTGACCAATAATGAATTATTGCAGCTCAGAATTTGTATCATTCATATGAATAGTAAAACTGCTGAGAGGCAGTAATTTATCACCGTCAAATTTATCATATTAATACTTTCTTCTAAGATAATATATTCTTCTAAGATAATATATTTTCAATAAATATGCAATAGCAACAAAATATTTCAAAATTTATTTTCTGAATATTTACTTTTTAATTATTCTTACTTTCATAAATATTAATATTAATAGTTAAAAAGCAGTTAAAAATTACATCGGAAAATAATTCACCAAAGTAGTTTTGTTTCTATGAAAATGAATATTTCATAAACTTTTCAGTCCTATGGAGAGTAATATATTAGCAAGTTTAATATTCCTTGCTTACTGGGTTTTCAGCGCTGGCAGTGAATTTTGGAAAATAGGCTCCGCATAACAGCATTTTTTAAATATATGGGACATAATTATATGATTATATATAGGTATATATAGAGACAAAATTCATATATAAATTTTTCCTGGGAAATGGCAGATCGTTTCGTATGTAGGAACTTGGGATATAAATAGACATTTTTGTAACAGATACCTTTAAATGCATGAATATTCTAATATGAGAATCTGAAATAAAATATATGATTTTCCCTATAGATAAGTTTTCCATGTAAGCTCTCAATAGATTCTTTGACGAATATGAATACTTTAATCTCTTCTTATGTATAATTTAATATAGCAATAAACTATATTAAATTACTCAAACTATTTAGTGCACACACGAGCTCAAGCTATTTAGTACAAATATACGTTTTGGACTCTCATTAGCTCATTTTTACAATTTCGATTAAATATATTCTTTTCAATTCGATAATTTGAATAAATGAATCATCAGTTCATTATCACATCAGTTTCATTCAACGATTATATTTGTCTCTTACAAATCCACATGGGATCTTAATCTAAGGAAAAATATTAAATATTTTATTTCACTATCATTGTTGGTATTTGCTTTTTTTTTATTCAAATATTTCAGAGAATATAAACCGAAGTTGCACTTATCTTTAAGATTCACGTAACATCGACACTTGCCACAGCTGGCACTTTCTTATATAGTTCATTAACACCAATATCTATATAAGAACTATGACTTACTTCCAAGATACCTCGAAGATCGCAGTATAGTACAATATCGCGCCATGACGAAAGATGAATGTGTTTGAATGAGTGCTCTGAATTCTATGTATCCTGCACATCATGGTATGTAAATATACGATAAATTTGTTGAGGTACAATCGCAAACTATTAATCAGTCGTGTATATTACAATTGTATACTTTGCGCTTCAGCTTGCACGCTACAATTCGACGCACACCGACAAACATCACGTCTAAGCTCGCATCAAAGCTATTATGATATGTAACACAATAGCTACGTATCATGAGAAATGATTATTCTAATCGTTCGACACTAGATCAGAACAGATCGTATGCTGCGCTAAGATGAACATCGTCGTGAAACAAAAAGAAAACATTTCTCCTAATATCACCAAACATGTTTTTCCAATCTTCCTCGATGCCTTGCAATAATTTTCGCTTGCAATTTGCACTATATATATTTGACAAGAAAAAGAATGACACACATACGATACCAAAAATAAAATAAAATTGCAACTTTTTGCCCTTAGGCACTTTTTTCTTCGCGATACTTCAACGATGTGTGTTCCACACACACTTACAGAGTATTTCCAATAGAAATATGTTCTATTCTTTTAAAGGAAAGAAAAGAGAGAGAAAAAAGAATAAGCTGGTACTTACACACTATTGGTTTGGTTTACGATTAATATGTAAGATATAATTAAAGAAAAAGAAAGTTCTCATGAATTCGAATATTGCATCGGTATGATTTTAGATGTGTGGTTTGTGTGATCAGCAATCCACTTTGATTCTTCGACCGTTTTACAACGTCGTTCACAGCGTTAAAAACGCATTGCCCGGTCTCAAAAACTATTGTAATTATTGCCTCCCAACTGCGAACTGAAGCCCCGATTCGGCGAGTATCCTGGCCTGAAGTTGTTGCCTAAGCCTGTGCACACACGCACACACACACACGTGAATAAAATACATATGTATATATATTATATATCCATCTGTTAGAGAGAGAGAATTTCATCGACAGATCTCACTCGAGTCTCACTCGCGCGCACGTATGTCGACTCTACATACTTTAGATGATATAATGCTTCAATTATAATAATACTTTCGGCAATCGGCCCTACCTCCGCAGAAATTGCCGATGCCACTTAGTGACATACCGCTTGAGCCACCGGTGGAATTCAGGAACAGTTCGATGTATCTGTGCGACATGTGGCTTTTATCCTGCAATAAAACAGAAGATGTTAGAACAAATTGTACGCCGCATGAACATGAATATTGTCGTGAAAAAAAAATTCCCAATACTTCATCAAAATAAAATTAGTAAATAATCTTTTAGACTTCCACATTGTTGTGAGTTATTATAGGGTTATGAATTATTACTAATGGTATTTATAATATATAGTTTTACATATAGTTTTTTGTAAAATACTACGAGAAAAAATTGTTCTGTTTAAACAGATTTTAATGATAAGAAATTTATACGAACTTTGCACATTGCTTTCACGGCTTCCTCGTGGGTTGCGAACTCCACATCGGCTTCTCCCGATGGACGACCACCATTTTCCATGATAATACGAACGTTTACCGGCTCGGTCGGTCTGAAGAACTGGAATTACACCCGAGCGTATTAAAGTTAAATATATGTCGGTTAAGAATCTCATTAGAAGTACGTGAGAATTAAATAAACGTAGAAATTTACGTCGGCTATGTCCTGTTCCGTCGCTTTGAATGGCAATCCTCGCATGTGAATACTGTGAACGCCCGAATTACCGCCCCAGGAGTCACCGCTACCTCTGTAATTACCGCCTTTCATGTCCATGCCGCCGCGCATCCCCATGTTACCACCGCGAGATCCGTAGTTATTCCCGTTCCCCCATGGGCCGTTGTCAAAATCTGAAGCAGAATCAGTCGGGAAATAATATACCAAATATACAATAAAGTATAATAATGTATAACACAGGATTAGGTAATAATTAGTTAAGTTAATTTAACAACTTTTAACTTAACTAAAATTTAATAACTTTTACTTTAACATAGATAATTTTAAATGACTTAATTTTTAACCTGCAAACTAATTCATTTAAAATACGTTAACTTTAATTTATTGACCTTTTTTTATATAAGATCAAATAATTTATCAATATTAAAATCATCTTCCGGACTGCTTATTATATAGAATAAATTAAAAAAAAAAATAAATAAATAAATAAAAATAAATTTCGTGTCATCTCTTTTAAGCGTTAGTGTTTCTTCTCTTGTATGAAATCCTGATTATAGGTCTCAAATTTCCGGAAAAATTGTCTTTGGGAAAAACCGGCTTTTTCGAGGTTTTTTCCGAAAAAAGATTCTTTGTGAGAAAAATATTATTTTTATTACACAGAACATGTAGATGTTTTCGGATCAGATTTCGCAGTCTAAAATTTTCAGATTAACGCTAAGAAACAGTTGCAACTGCTTAATTACTATCTCTCGTCATCCTCACGGATATCTGAACACGAAACTCTGACATGCCGCATGAATGTGAATATTGTAGTGGAGGGGGAAAAAAAAAAATTCCTAACATTTCATCAAAATAAGATTAATAAATAATCTTCCTGTGTTTTACATCGGTGTTGAGTTATTACTAGTTGTATTTACATATAGTTTTTCTGAAATGAGTTATTATTAGCGGCATTTATATATAATTTTACATATAGTTTTTTATAAAATATCATGAGAAAAAATTGTTCTATATAACAGACTTTAATGATGAGAAACTTATACGAACTTTGCACGTTGCTTTCACGGCTTCCTCGTGGGTTGTGAAGGACATGCCAAGAGAAATTACCTCTGTTTCTGGATCCTCTGCCGTTGTTGCTGAAACGATTCATCCCGCCGAAGCGATCGCCGCGAGTGTATGGCGCGGGCCTCTGATTGAAGCCACCCATGGGACCACCGCGCATTTTCGGCCCGATACTGGCGCGTACCTCGGATAAACTGCTGCGGAAGATCTCGATGTACCTGTTAACGATCAAAGTCCGCACATTTAGTTTAGTGAGCCCACACGCGCCCTGAGTAAGTTCGTCGTCGTCATTATTACTCGTTATACTCTCACCATACACTGCCACCAAATCGAAAAGTCAACTTTAACAACTGTAATCGATATAATTCGAGAGAAAGAAGGAAAAAAGAGAGGAAGAGAGAGAGAGAGAGAGAGAGAGAGAGAGAGAGAGAGAGAGAGAGAGAGAGGAGTGAGAAAAAGGTGGAGAAAGAAAGATCACAAAAGGTGAGATAAAAAAAAAGTGTAACACGTGATTTTCGGAGAGAAAAAAAATGAGAAAAAGAATAGGAATTATATTATTGCGTAGCGGTGAGGATAAATCATACGATTTGACGTTACGTTGTGAGAGTGAGTAAATGAGTAAATGAGTGAATGAGTGAGTGAGTGAGTGAGTGAGTGAGTGAGAGAGAGAGAGAGAGGAGAGGAGAGGAGAGGAGAAGAAAAGAAGAAACTCGTGAACGACACTTTTAGCAATTGAAGAATTTTACCGTGTGACAGAGCAACTATGTTCATACTAAACCTCCTTATTTATCATTAAACCTGCGAAGAGAGAGAGAGAGTAAGACCCTCCCACGACGACATCGCTTCATGACGTACCTACGTCATAGTAACCCAGCCCATGTGACGCCGACGATCTTCGGATAAACCACGCTAACAATTGCACCTTCTGCGGAAAGACATCTTCATCCGTCGATCACATAAATTACTATTTTATTACCAGACTGTACGCGTGACCTTTACCACATGTAAACATTTCCCTGCGCGATAAACGTGAGTTTCCTGTGATCGTGTGTCAACCAATCGTCCTTGATATATAACATGTAAGATTTACATCAAACGAATTTATTTATGTAAGTTTTTGAATTTGAGCGTTTTCGAAATGTCGATTCGCAGAAGACGCAATCGCGCACGTGGCATAAACATGCCGTATTGGATCGATGGTTACTATATCCCTGTAACGCTCACCGAACTTTGGCTCGCCCTACCCACCTCCCATGGAATTTGGTGATGACGCAAGGGGGTATCTCCCGCCCCCTGGCACCCACCCACCGGGTATAAGTTGGGTCCACAGTACTTTCGCTTACGTATGACTATCTGGTTGTAATTGTGTTTGAGAGAGAGAGAGAGAGA